GCCCATTTTTTAATCAGGTTATTTGCTTTTTGGGTGTTGAGGCATGTGAGTTCTTTATATATTTTGGATGTTAACCTCTTGTTGGATATGTCGTTTACAAATATGTTCTCCCATACTATAGGATGCCTTTTTGTTCTGTTGATGGTGTCTTTTGCTGTACAGAAGCTTTTTAGTTTGATGTAGTCCCATGTGTTCATTTTTGCTTTTGTTTCCCTTGCTTGAGGAGATGCATTCAGAAAAAAGTTGCTCTTGCTTATTTTATTCAGGAGATGTTTGCATATGTTGTCTTCTAAGAGTTTTATGGTTTCATGACTTACATTCAGGTCTTTGACCCATTTTGAGTTTACTTTTCTGTATGGGAATAGACAATAATCCAGTTTCATTCTCTTACATGTAGCTGTCCAGTTTTGCCAACACCAGCTGTTGAAAAGGCTGTCACTTCCCCATTGTATGTCCATGGCTTCTTTATTGTATCTTAAATGACCATATATGCTTTGGTTTATATCTGGGCTCTCTAGTCTATTCCATTGGTCTATGGGTCTGTTCTTGTGCCAGTACCAAATTGTCTTTTTTACTGTGACTTTGTAGTAGAGCTTGAAGTCGGGATGGGTAAGCCCCCAGCTTTATTGTTCCCTCTCAGGGTTGCTTTGGCTATTTGGGGTCTTTTGTGGTTCCATATGAATTTTAGAACGATTTTCTCTAGTTCATTGAAGAATACTGTTTGTATTTTCATAGGGATTGCATTTAATCTGTAGATTGCTTTAGGTAAGACGGCCATTTTGAAAATATTAATTCTTCCTATCCATGAGCATGGGATGTGTTTCCATTTATTGGTATCTTCTTTAATTTCTCTCATGAGTGTCTTGTAGTTTTCAGAGTATAGGTCTTTCACTTCCTTGGTTAGGTTTATTCCTAGGTATTTTATTCTTTTTGATGCAATTGTGAATGGAATTGTTTTCCTAATTTCTCTCTCTGCTAGTTCATTGTTAGTGTATAGGAATACCACAGATTTCTGTGTATTAATTTTGTATCCTGCAACTTTGCTGAATTCAGATATTAGATCTAGTAGTTTTGGAGTGGATTCTTTAGGGTTTTTAATGTACAATATCATGTCATCTACAAACAGGGACATTTTAACTTCTTCCTTGCCAATCTGGATGCCTTTTATTTCTTTGTGTTGTCTGGTTGCCATGGCTAGGACCTCCAGTACTATGTTGAATGGAAGTGGGGAGAGTGGGCATCCTTGTCTTGTTCCCCATCTTAAAGGAAAAGCTTTCAGTTTCTTGATGTTAAGTATAATGTTGGCTGTGGGTTTGTCATACATGGCCTTTATTATGTTGAGGTACTTGCCCTCTATACCCATTTTGTTGAGAGTTTTTATCATGAATGAATGTTGAATTTTGTCAAATGCTTTTTCAGCTTCTATGGAGATGATTATATCATTTTTATCCTTTTTGTTGATGTGGCGGGTCATGTTTTGAGCTCACGTTTTAAAAGTCTAGGATCAGAAGTTACAGAGAGTAGAAGTTAATGTAGTATTCCATTCTCATGGCTATCTCAGTGTCTGAATAATCATTGCAGTGCGCATCACTTGGGTCCCAGCACTGTGTTAAGTGCTCCCCAGACATTTCACAGTGAAGATTGAGGCTTAGAGAAGTACTAGGTTGGTAGGTTAATGATTTCTTATTTATAGGAAATACCAACCTTGTTAGGAGGAGTTGTTCATAGAAGGTGCTGTTATTCTTTTGGTTCTGTCCGTTTCTTCATAGGGATTTACTGACAGTGCTCAATTTTGTGCCATTGCCAATAAAAATAAAAGCTTGTCACCTGTTTCCTGATTATCAGGAAACTTTATTTGTTAAATGACAGTTTGATAATAGGAGTTAAATCTATAAATAGTGGAAAGAGCCCTTAGCTGTGGGTTCTTCTGTTCTATTCATTCACATTTTCATTCATTCAACAAATACTTAAGTGCCTTCTAAGTACCAGGAACTGTTCTAGGCACTGGGCATAAGGCAGTGAACAAAAGAGGCCAAGTTGATGCTGTTAGGAAACTTTTGTGCTAGGCCAGGAAGGTAGTCAATTAAAAGAGGAAAACAACCAACCAATTTTAATTAGAGGGAAGTGCTTTGGAGAAAAATTAAGTTTAGTATAAGGGAAATAAGATAGGCCAGGAATGGATGGAGTGGGAGCAGGGGGGATTTTATGTAAGGTGGTAAGGGGTACACTGCTGGTGATGTGACATTTGAGCTGAGACCTGAAGTGAGTGAGTGAACAAGCCCTTTTTTAATCTAGGGGAAAAGCATCCTGGGCAGAGAAAGTAGCCAGCACAAAGGACCTAAGGCAGGAGTGTGCCTGGTGAGTGGAGCGGCTCTGTGAGCAGAGAGGTTGGTGAACAGAACAGGCGATGAGGTGG